AGGCCATGATCTCTTCAATCATTTGCTGTGCATCTGAGAGCTAGACCAAGAGTAAGGATGACAGAAGAAGAATCGATGCCTTTGAGCTGTGGTGCTGGAGAAGAGGGCTGACTATCCCATGGCTTGCCTTCGGAGCAAACAGATACAAAACAACTATGAGATATCATCTCACCCCAGTCAGAATAGCAAAATTTAACAGAACAGCAAACAACAAATGCTGGCAAGGTTGTGGAGAAACTGGAACCCTTATTCACTGTTGGTGGGAGTGTAAAACGGTGCAACCACTGTGGAAAGTGGTGTGGCGCTTTCTCAAAGAGTTGCAAATAGAGATACCATTCGACCCAGCAATTCCACTACTGGGAATATACCCCCAAAAGACCATAACTGAAATCCAAGCAGATATATGCACACTCATGTTTATCACGGCTTTGTTCACAATAGCAAGGAGTTGGAAACAACCTAAATGCCCATCAACAAACGAATGGAGAAGCTGTGGTATATTCACACAATGGAATACTACTCTGCACTGAAAAACAAGGAACTCATGCAATATTATTCAAAATGGGTGACTCTGGAGGACATTATGCTGAGTGAAGTATTTCAGTCACAAAAGGACAAATACTGCATGGTACCACTACTGTAAAACAGGACTGACCTTGGGGTTGGGGGAAGACTGAGAAAGATGGGTTAAATAATGTATACTGCATTGAGACAGACGAGGGAGAAAACTGTTTAAGAAGGATATGTGAGTAAGTATTTTTGTCATCATGGGAGTCCAGAGTGAATGCTGCACAGTGGAGTGGACCTGGGGGGAGGGTTTGTAAAACAACGAAAGAATTTTTCTTTTACTTTTCCAAGAGGGTAATGTACTAGGCAGGGAGGGTTGGGAGGAGAGAAAAGTGCAACAATGAATGAATGGAAATCCAAAGCCGCTGTAAATTTTCATTGACTTGAATAATAATTTTTTTAAACAGCAGATTTTTTTTTATGTGTGTGTTTGTGTGTGTGTGTGTGTGTGTGTGTGTGTATACTGTCAAATCAGATCTGACTGGTACAGGAGGCGATTGCTCCTCTTTCTTCATCAGAGCATCTGGTGCAAACACATATATTTTGAAGAAGGTGCAGCCAGAGTGCTCTTTGGAGGTAAAGATGATAAAGCTTCATTTCACCTATTTTGGGCATGTTGCTAGGAGAGGCTATTCCTTGGAGAGGGACATCATGCTTGGAAAGGTGGAGGCTCAGTGAAAGAGACAGAGACCCTCAACTAGATGGACTGACACAGTGACTGCAGCAGGGGGCTTGAGTGTGTCAGAGATTATGAGGATGGCACCGGACAGGACAGGGTTCAGATCTATGGGTCTCTAGGTGTTGTACTTGACTCGCTGGCACCTAACAACAACAGCAGCAGCAGCAGCAGTAGCAGCAGCAGGTTACAATTCATGTTCAGGGACAAGCTCAGATGTAGTTCTCTGGTCAACCCAGGCTCTTTCCTCAGACGTGCTCACAGGCAGGCCTCTCTCGGGTCTTCAGCTTCTTGGCTTTGGCCTCGGCCCTGCTTGAGCAAGTGTTACAAAGCCCTGCCATCTCAAATGCCAAGGGTATCCCACCCTACCAAGTCCAGTGACTCTAGGCTTTGGTTTCACAGGTTGGCAAATCTATGCCCCAAGGCACCCACCCTTCCAGTAAGCCTCCTGTCCCCAAGCACTTCCCTTTCTCTCTCCCTAGGTCAGGCAGCCCACAGCTGGGTTCCTGGTTCTCCCACCTCTGTCTCCACCTTTCTGCAGGGTTACAACTCTCCGTCCTCTGGTTGGAGAACCTTCCAGCGCAGGGGTATCAAGGCCGAAGGATGGACTTCTCACGGTCTCTTCTTTCTTGATAGTAATGGACTCACTTCTGCCTCTGGATGGTCTCTTATTAAGCCTTACGGAAAGGTGAAATCAATCCACCCTCACACGAGTTAGCATTTTCTGTACCCTCTTTGCATGACCCCACCGCACCTTATTTTTGCCGCATGGCTTGAGTAAGGACATGCTCACAAGGTGTGTCAGGTACTCACGACAGGATTGGTCAGTTTTGCCATCCCACCAGGCTGCAGGTCCCAGGTCCCGTGAGGACACCTGAGAAGGTGTCCTGATTAGAGAAGAGCAGCTTGCTTCCAATCTGTCAGCTTCCCTGACAATCCCCACAAACATGAGTGTGGTTCTGCAAGTTCTGCGTGGCCATTACAATGGATGCGCAGACACAGGTAGGGCCCTCGGAGCAGCACATGCTGTTCAGATTGGTGGAAGGAGGTGCCGAGGCAAAGGGACACGTCTGACCTCAGAGAAGCTGGCTTCCTACTGGACAGTTCTCCTTCATTCAGTTAGCAGAGGTCATGCACAGCTTCCCTCGCTCTTTTTATATAACTGAATGAAGGCGACCAGGGCAGTCACCCTTTTCCAGATTACTGCTCTACCCAGCTAACTTCCCTCTTTCAGCAGAATGCTTCTTCCTCCAGCAAGTCCTCTCTGACTGCCACTCTTCTCTCCCGTGGTCAGGTCCCCTGCTCCTTGTTTTTATGCCTCGTTGAGCTTCTCCCTCCTTACACCTGAGACGTGTGCTTGTCATCTCCTCACTGGGGGTCTGGGGTTTCCACGAGACAGGGCTGGTCTGCTGTGCCCACTGCTGCATCTGAGCTCTTGTCTGGCCACAGGGTAGTGTCAATGCCTGACTGATCCAGACGTGGCGTGAGGAAGGGTGTGGCAGGCAGGAGGACTTACTTAGTCCAGTATCTCAAAATCAAGGAGCCATGGCTGCCCAAATGAAGTGGAATCAATTCGATGGTGGTGGCCTAGTGGTAAGAAACTGCACTGCAATCCCAAAGACACGTGGTTCAAATCCACTGGATTTGAACGCTGGACAATCACCCCCCATGTGATTTACTGCCTCTGAAAATCTGCTAGAGGGTCAGCAATGGGTTGCTTCTGATTCAGTGGCACATCATAACAACAAATGACAGTGGGCGTTTGGTCAGTCCAGAGATAGCCTTGGTGGCACAGCAGTTACAGTGGTCAGAACCCACCAGCTGACCACCGTGATCTGCTCCCATGAAGATCACTGCCTTTGGGCACAGCTTGACTCTATCTCGGAAGGTCACCACGAGTCATAATAGACTCCATGATGCCTAACAAGTCAAAACTAGACTGTAGGAGCAGAAGAGAGATGTCTAGCATTTTAATCCCACTTACTTGGGAAAGGAGTCGTTATTTTCCTGGGTTTGCAATTCAGTATGAGGAGGCCTACCAGAGAGCCCAAGCGCACCGAGTATTAATGACAGTCCCATCTAGCTCCTCTCTGCTATGACAAGTGTCCACTTTCTCTGCAGCCCTGGACCTAACCGGGGCTAGCACTCAGCTGGTGTCTCCAAGCCCAAGCATGCATAGCCACCCCCACAGGACCCTCCTTATCAGTGGGCCTCCAGACCACCTGTCGGCTCCTGTGCACCTGGTCAGTGGCCTCCTCACACCCAGCCTGGGTGTCCACTGCAGTGGAGACAGGGCCTTGGGCAGTATTTTCCGATCAATCACTGCCCCCTTGCTCCTCAGCTCCAGCAGCAGATCTTGCACATTCCTGTCAGGAGAAGCTGTCTCCGGGACCTCATCTCAGAGACCAGCCCTCAGACAAAAGAACTCACCTTGGGGAGCTCCCAAAGCATCCCCAGCAGCATTCCCGCCCAGACTGTTTGTTTAATGAGATCCCCACATGCCCTAAAACCTTCAGAAGTATGCCTCACCGTGCATGCATCTAACTTGCCCTGTTATTTCACAAGAATTCGTCTCATTAAACAAGAGCTATGGAGCAGGATGAGGCCTGGAGTGGAGTGTGTGTGTGTGTGTGTGTGTGTGGTTCCTGTGGAGGGAGAAGCCTCAGTACCAGGAGGATTTTAACACGGAGATGAGTCGTCTGGCTCACACGCAGGAGACTGAGAATACTGTCCTTGTGGGGATGACTAATTCTAGCCCACCTTTTGCTCAAGCACTGTTTTCAGGGGAAGCAGAGGCCCTGCCATTCCACAGGGACCTGTCTGAAGGGTTTCTGAGGTTCACAAGTCTGGTCTGGCTTCCGCCCCCCACTCCCAGGTTGCTTTTGGCTAATGATTGCCTTTCTCTGCTCCTGACTCCCATCTTTCTCCCAGCTGTATTGCCAGGATCAGAGATAGCTCGAAAAACCTGAAGGTGATCTGGGCTGCTAAACCCAAAGTTCAACTCAACTTGTTACCATGGAGTCAGAACCCTCCAGGAGGCCTTCAGAGGCTGTAAATCACACGGAAGGGTGCCAAGGAGCAGCTCGTGGGTTCGAATTGCCTGTCTAAGGACAGTCACCCTTTTCCAGACTACTCTTCACTCCACTAGACCACGGCTAACCAATAACTTGGACTCCACCAAGCACTCTGAGGGAGAAAGATGTGGCAGCTTCCTTCCCTAAAGATTTATAGCCTCGGAAACCGTGGAGTCAATTCTGCTAGGTTCTGTAGGGTCGCTGTAGACGGTAGCTGGATTGCATTTTCGTTCTCAAAAGCAGTGTGTGCCCATGCACATTTCCCCTGATTCAATCAACAGTCATGTTCAGGGCACCTACTGTGTGCTCCCGACCTTGTCGGTACAGCGGTGAGCAGCACCGACGCTGTGTCCCCATCTGGTAGAGAAGACAAAGGGCAGAGTTGTCACTGGGGCTGGGAAGTATGATGGGAAGCACTGAGGCAGAGGAACACGCTCCAGAGCTCAGGAGAACCCAAAAGAGAGCTGCGCCCGAAGGAAAACAAGGCGAAGAACGAAACGTGAAAAAAACCCCAACCCCCACTGCCTGAGCCCCTTCCTCATCTCAGCCAATTAGACATCAGCATCGCCGGCCCGGAAGACCAATCAGAAACCAGAACAGAAGTCCTAGTCGTAGGCCACGGCTGCCCCGGGAGGGCTGCCAGAGCCGACGCGCGTGGCCACGCCCACTGCCCCCGCCCACAGTCGGCCCCGCCCAGAGCGTGGTCTGGCCCCGCCCACCGCCAGCCCCAGCCTCGCCCACCGCCTGCCCCAGCCCCGCCCAGGCCCCGCCCCACCGCGCCTGCCCGGAGCCCCGTGGACGCCGGCCGGCGACGAGGCGGTGCATTGTCCCAAAGGCCGAAAAAACAGCAGAGCCGGGAGATTGCGGGGCAGCCACGTGGCCCGAGAGGATTTACAACACTCTTTTACACCCTCAAGAGAACTGCAAAATGCATGAGAGCGACGGCGTAGCCAGGACTAGAGTGTGAGCGCGCGGGAAAGGTAAGCAGCTCCCGGCCAGCTTGGCCGCGGAAGGGCGTCCGGAGCCGGTGGGTGCACGACCCACCCTGCGCGCTGTCGCGGGAGCTGCGGCCCCTGCACACTCTGAAGGAGGCTCGGCGGTGTAGACCGAGCTGATCCGCCGCCTGTAACCCGGGGGTTGCCGGGCGGTGTAGACCGAGCTGATCCGCCGCCTGTGACCCGGGGGCTGCCGGGCGGTGTAGACACGACTCTTGGGCTTCCGGGGCGGTGTAGACCGAGCTGATCCGCCGCCAGTGACCTGGGGGCTGCCAGGGCGGTGTAGACATGGTCCCTGAACTGATCCGCCGCTAGTGACCTGGAGTCTGCCGGAGCGGTGTAGACCGAGCTGATCCGCCGCCTGTGACCCGGGGGCTGCCAGGCGGTGTAGACCGAGCTGATCCACCGCCTGTGACCCGGGGGCTGCCGGGCGGTGTAGACCGAGCTGATCCGCCGCCAGTGACCCGGGGGCTGCCGGGCGGTGTAGACATGGTCCCTGAGCGGATCCTCCGTCTGTGACCCGGAGTCTGCTGGGCCTGTGTAGACGCGATTCTTATGCTGATCCGCTGCCTGTGACCCGATCAACTGGATCAACTCGAAGCTGCCGGGGCGGTGTAGACTCAGTCCCTGAGCTGATCCACCCTGGGTAAACCCGGGCGGCCGGGGTAGTGTCGTCAGGGTCTCTGAGCGGATCCATCGCCGCTGATCCGGGGACTGACAAGCGGTGTAGACGCGGTCCCTGAGCCGATCCACCCTGGGTAACGGGGGGCTGCCGGCGTAGTGTAGACGCAGTCCCCGAGCTCCGAGCATGGGACTGATCTGAGCTTGGTCGGCAGTGCCGGTGACTCGTGCCTGTCGAGACCGGAGGTGTAGACCGAGCCCTCCAGCCCCTGGGGCAGGGCCGGCTGTGCGGACACCGGTTTGTGGCTGAGGCGCGGCGGAGCCCGGAGCAGGTGGAGCTGCAGCAGGCGGGGCGCGAAAGTTTGCTGAGAGCCGGCGGGCGGGCGGGGAGGAGGACGGCCAGGGAGGAGGGCGGCCCTGGAGGAGGGCGGCCTGGGAGGAGGGCGGGCGGACGGGTTGTATGGGAGGAGGGTGGGCCCGGAGGAGGGAGGGAGGGCGTCACGGGAGGAGGGAGGGTTGGCCAGGAGGAGGGTCTTCGGAGGAGGGTGGGCAGCCCAGGAGGGGGGCGAGTTGGCTGGGAGGAGGGTCCCCGCGCCTCCGCCGCTGAGAAGCGCTCACCTGTCACCGCCCCTGCTCCCTTCCGGGTGTGTGTGGGGGAGAATCTCCAAATCTCAGCCTGCATTGCATTCTCAGCCTCCTTGTCCCTTGGAGGCTGTGGAGAGACTGTCCTAGAGAAAATGGGGGGAACAAGGTAGCCCCATTTTACCTGGGAGCAGTCTCAGACACAGAAAAGCCAGCAGCGGATGGTCACACGCTGGTGGTCAGCAGATCCGATCCAGCTCCAGAGCGTAGCTTTTTCTCTCTTTCCATCTTCTGTCTCTCAGGAGGAAGTGCTCTAGGCATGGGGTGTGGAGGGGAACACCCTGAAGTGAGGCTCCTGGGCCTTCCTCCTACTCCTGTGTGAGGCCCCAGGCGGTCCCATTGCAGCGTTAGGGATGGAGACCAAAGCAGGGGCAGACTGTACTGATGCAAGCCCCACCCCCTTGTCCACTGGGGGCGGGGGGGGGGGGGCGAGGAGGCAGGGCTTCTATCCAGCAGTCTAAGAGCTGGGGCCCCAATCTCAGGCGCTGAGAGGGGCAGGCTGAAGCCCAGAAAGGGGAGGAGATCCACGTGTCCTGAGGGGCTTAGCCTCATCACCACCCGGTCTGTCCTCTCAGCCCCTTGCTGCTGGTGGCTGTGGGCCCTCCTGCCACAGGACCTTTGAACATCTGTAGCCTTCTAGTCATCGAACACCTAGTATCTATCACTATGAGCAATTCAGCTGGGAGGGGTCTGTCCGCACAGGGCTTCTAGACCAGTGCTGGCACATCAACAGTGAGTGACAGCAAGTGGACAAGAGGATGATGGGAGTGCAGGTGTATTGGGGGTGAGAGCAACCTTAGGGGGCCTTGCCACTAGGGCTCTCAGCGGAATTGATGCTGAGTCAGAGGATGGACACCTTCCCTTCGTCCTTTCCACCCCAATGTCACTTCCTCCAGGAAGCCTTCCTGTGGTGCTCTCTCATAATTGTGAAGGCAAGTCCCGAGTGCTTACTCGATGGCCAGATTTCCCTGCAGACAAAAACAGAGACTGCCTGGCTGGGTCAGGCAGCCAGAAGGCAGGCACTGTCCCTTTGCCCTTCCCTGGCCACAATCCTGGGCTCCACATCCCACTGGCGGATCCAGAAACAGAGTAAAAGGAACCAGCAGGCCGGCGGGACAGCCCAGGGGCCTGGCGCATGCAGCCCACCACAGTGCCAAGGCTGGCCCGCCTGAAGGGGGGTTGCTGGAGGAGCTGGGCTGGTCGCCCAGAATCCTCCTCCTGGGAGAAGGTGTCTTCTGATCTCCTGACAGCCTCTTTCTCGGGCTCTACTTTTCTTCCAGAGCTGCCCTGTCAGAAGAGGGTCGCTAGCAAGCCCCCAAGGCTGCCTGGGTCCACAGTGCCCACCTGGCCTCTCCATCCCTCCTCCATGGGCAGAAGCTCTGGGCAACACCTCCTTGGCCCAGAGCCAGCCCTTTGGATCACAAATAGCCGCTGATGCCCCACTGGAAAGCAGAGCTGGATTCCGAGGGGCCACGCTTTTTCTTCCTTTCCATGCTGCCCCTCTCCTGGCACCTGCCCTTCCCCTGGCACTGAGCCTGTGCTCCTGGCACCTTTCCTGTGGCAGATCACGTCTTCACAGATGCTTCACAAAGCTTTCAGCACACTCCCCCCTGCTTACTTCAGAGGACTGTGCTGCCACCGTGCAGGACTCAGACACTCAGCAGCGCCCCATATTCAGGCTCCAGCAGGGACAGGATGAAAACGGAGTCCCCCCACCAGCCAGCCGCACTCCTCCACCCTTTCACCAGCATTTTAAATAGGCTTTTAAATCCGACTCACTGCTCCCCCTAAACCTTATCTACATTCCCTCACCCAAGGGTGAGAGTGGAGGCTTTGGAGTGTAGGCCAAGCTCCGCTAATGATGAGCTGTGTGACCTCTGGTAGATTACTTAACCTCTCTGGGCCTCGATTGGCTCCTCTGGAAAGGGCGGTTAGTGATAATCCCTCCCTCACAGGGTGTGTGAGTGGGAGGGAGGAATTAGATAAGGCTCTGGGGAAAGCTGTTTTCTATACCCCAGCCCCAGCTGGCCTGCTAATTAGCCTACTGACCTTGGGTGGGCCCCCAATGTCCTCATTTAGAAAACACAGGGGCTGATCTGGGTGAGAGGACAGAACCCCGCCCAGAGCCTCCCCTCACTCCACCTGCCCTCTGCCAGACGCTGCCAGCCACCCCGAACTCCATTCTCAGAGCCTGGGGAGGAATTGGCCATGCACACCCCACACAGCTGCCACTGTGCCCCGTGCCCAGGAAGTCTCAGGGCTGCGTCCCGCGGGCCCCTGCAGTTCCTGGCTCATTTTCAGGGGCAATTAGCCGTGATGTCACAAATCTCAGAGGTGGCCTCAGCAGGCACGTGGCCAAGCCGCCAGGAGGCCCCCAGGCCTGAGGGTCCCCAGCGTCCGTCTGTGGTGGGCGGTGGGCAGCAGCTCCCAGGCGGTCCTGTCTCTACACTTCGCCAGTCCTCCTGCAAAATTGAAATCGGGGTGCAAATGAGTTCTGCCCTGTGCTTTTGTTGGCAACTGTCGGCTCCTTGGAAGCGAGGGGCTTTGTCAGAAGAACAAAGCTGTAGCAGGCCTTCTTGATTTGGGGGGATGCACGCCGGGGAGGGCTGTGGGTGTCAGCCCCTGCCTCTCCGACTCACTGGTTTTGTTTAGGGTTTTTAAATCGTCTGGCTTAAAAGTCACATATGTTTGCGTGTGTGTGTTGGCTGAGAGATTGCCCCCCCTTCTCCTTTTTTGGCCTACATAGCGTTTTCTGGGGAAGCTAATTCCAGGGACTGAACTTTTCAAATCACTGCTTCAACAGCTTTTAAAAATCTGGACCTAGTTACTCCTGTCATCCGTGTGTAAAGATTGAGGGGGGAAATCCCCAGCCCAGAGTGAGCAGCCCCCCAAGGTGCACGGCTGCTGGCAGTACATTGGCAGCGGGCCCAGGGTCAAACCCAGATGTCGAGTGACTCCTGGAGGGAGTGAGGCCCGGGTTGTCTGCTCGGCGCCAAACATCTGGATATTTAGACAACATCTGGGTGGCTGGATTTTTCAGATCCCAGCCTGACATTTAATATTGCAACCATTTCTCCTGCCAGCCCCAGGCCTCTCCTCCCAGCACCGCTGGCCCTTCCCTCGCCACCCCCCTCCCCCCCCCAGCTTGGAAACAGCCTTTCTTCCCAATTCCCCAACGTTTTCCCCACCGGAAATCTGATGGTCTTATGACATCATGGCTGGCTACCGAGCAATGAAGTGCTTGCCACAAAGAAATCCGACAGATTCTCCAATCCCTTCCCCACCTCGCCTCTAGCAACCGGTGTGAAGTCAGGAGCATTTGAGCTTTGCTGAGAAACAGCAACAACAATTAAACATTGCCCCGTGTAAAAACACAGCCTCTGAGGGGCGGCGGGAGAAGGCAAACAGAGCTTTTGGACTGCATCCTCTTTTCATGGCGAGTCTGGCTTTTCTGAAAGTGTCTGTGTGTGAAGGTGGTTCCGTTTCTCTTCTGTTTTGGTGCATCAATTCATTAATAAACAAGGAACTGGGAATCATTTCACTCCATTATTCAAATGAGATGGATTCCCCCCCCCTCCCCTCCTTTCAGGCCAATAAAATTCCCAGGGCAGATGGCTGGTTCATGTCTTCCTAGAATTCTGGGTTGGGTTTTGGGGGTTTGTTTTTTTTTGGTGTTCC